GACCCTGATAAGGCAGCAGCCTTCAGGATGCACCTGGCAGCGTTTCCCACGGTGCCCCACCAGGTCGACATGAATCAGCACTTGCACGACATCATTCAATACATGTACGCGGGTGCACAAACATGCTCCCCTAAACCCGCGCGTACCCCGATCAAGCCATATGTATCAGAGGATCTTCTAGGAGTAATCATCTTCAGAAGGCAAGTACGGCAGGCGTGGCGTCTCTGGGGTAAGCATGACTCTGGTGGTGTCAGGAGGCTGGTCGCCGCGGCGCTTGAGGCGGGGGCCCCCCAGAACATCACCGATCTTGAGCTGGACCTCCTGGTTTCGGAGCTTTTCCATGCTTTCGCTGATTGGGATAATCAGATCCTGGCGGCAAGTGCGTTAGCCGCGCACATGCTTGAGTTTCTGGTCAAGTCGAAGCCGGCCCTGAGAAGGGCCATGAAGCTCTCGCGCAACAAGCTGTTAGACGACCTCGCCCAGCAGTTGAGCAACGCTAGGTCCTCAAACGAGAGTCGAGTGGAGTGGAGAGTGCTTTGCCAGCTTTTTTTCTGGCCGCAGTGACAGAGCGAGCGAACGCACGAGGGTGCCCAGGACTGCACTTGAATTCGCGTCATGCCCCTCACACGGTGCCCACCGCGACAAGGACCTGCAGGGCGAACGTCAGCCGGGGCGACTGCACGCGAAAAGGCTCGCCCGCAAGTTCTTGTCGAGAACCTTGACCATCTCACCGGAGGCGCCGATGCAGACAGCGTAGCGCGACGAAGTGGAGTCGAAGAACTTCACGACGCCGCACTTGCCCGCAAGATCTGGGCGAGACACCAGATCGCCGAGCACCACCGCCTGACCCTCAGCGAAAGTCGCAGCACTTGCCGAAGTTGGGACCTGCGAAGGCGAAGACGAAGGTGAAGCTGAAGCCAGCGCGCGAACGCCGCGCGGAGAGCGTTCCCGAGAGGACCGGGGAGCCAAGACGCGCGCCGGCCTGCTGGGAGCAAGCTCCGCAACCACCGGGGGCACTGCCAAGGCAGAAGTTGCCGGCGGAGCAACCTCAGGGACGCCACCGGCTGGCGGCGGCAACTCCGGACCACCGTCCACACCCTCCATAACAGCCTGCTTACCCTTCTTCTTCTTGGCGCGCTTCTTCTTTCCCTTGACGCCGCCGCCCACAGCGCCGTCGCCAGCGCCAGGAGCAGGAGCCACGGGACGAGGAAGTGCAAGCAGCGCCGCAACGGCCGCCCGCGCCAGCGCCTCCGAAGAACGGAGAAGGCGCGCTGCCTCGCGCAGCCCGGCGGCAGCGGCAAGGCTGGCGGCGGAGTGCGAGGCAAGAGCAGCAGCGCGAGCCGCTTCCGTGCAGTGGGACTGCGCAAGCGCCATCGGCATCAGAGGTGCGAGGTCAAAACGAGCTCGACACAACTTGAGCCAAAATGGCTAGAGTGCTTTACCAGCTGCAAAGGTTCGGGGGAAAGCGCTCCAAGTTTCAGGTCGAGGGGCTTAGAATCCGACGAGGTTCTCAGGGCGAGTATCTGGCCACATCTGGAGATCTCTCGGAGGCCCTCACTGATTGTTTCGCTGTAGTTGAGAATGGGCAGACACTCAGCTGGGAAGAACTGGTTGAAAGATACAACGCCCTCCCCGAGCGGGGAAATGTATATCCCAGGGAGTTGGACATGATCACCCCCTTCCGCAGGCTCAAGCACGACATCGTGAAGGCAGCCAAGAGGAGAGGACCTGGGCCTGACGGACTCAGCAATGATCTTTTCCAGGTCGCTCCGCAAGAATGCACGCAGATCCTATTGCCGTTGTTCGTGAAAGTTGACATGGCGTCCAGGGAGCCCCTGCTGTTCAAAGGAGGTCGGCAATGTGATCTGCGCAAATCTGGGCCCCCCGAACCCCTGGAACACTACAGAGGCATCCTACTGGGATGTCACACGGCGAAGTTGCACCATGCCTTCCTCAGGAGTAGATTGTTAGAGGCATCGATGAACATGCTGTCGGTGGTCCAGCAGGGAGCTCCCCCTCCACGCGGCACTGACATTGCATCCCTGCATCTTCGGTCGGCCATGTTGGCTGCCAAGGCTAGGAAGCGCACATGCCTGTCGTTGTACACCGATCTAAAAGCGGCATTCTATTCGGTCATCCGAGGATTCGTTGCCAGAATGGCCCAGAACAGCGAGGACATCCAAAACACGCTGGCGGACTTGGAGATGCCGAGTTGTCTGGGGCCTCTGTGCCATGCCCTAGTCGCCAAGCCTGGCGCCCTGGACGGACTTGCAAGTAAGCACCTCCTGGAAGCAGTGGTTGACGTGATGGAATGCAATTGGTTCCAAGTACGGGGGAGTACCAGGGTTATCTCCCCCCGCCTAGGTACGAGGCCAGGCGTGCCACTAGCAGACCTCCTGTACATCATAGCCTTCGACCCAATCATCATCGCGGTCAACAGTAGATTAGGATCCCTGGGGTATCTTCAGAGGACTAAGGACGCGGCCCCGTCTCAGAGGATTTTTCAGGGGTCGCGAGCACGAGCATGTAGAGGAAGACGCATGGGACCCTGCCTTCATGGATGACCTCGTCAACGGCATCGAGCTGTTAGACGCTAGGCTCTGGAAGGAGGCGGCCATCGCCCTCGTCACGATCATGTGCGAAGAAACCAAGTCTAAGGGGTTCACCATGAACTGGAAGGCGGGCAAGACGGAGCTCATGGCCTTCTTCAGCGGCACAGGTTCCAGGAAGGCACGAGGGGAGTGTGCGGCCTTGGCTGCCACTGGTCTTCTCGTCCCTCCCTTTGGCGTCTCCCTGTGCCTCACTAGAACCTACCAACACTTGGGAAGCTACCAGGACCATCGCATTTCTCTGGGACCCGAGCTGGCGCACCGCTGCCATCAGCAGCGACGTCCTCTAGGGGTACTGAGGCGCACTGTTTTACCCAGGAAGCAAAATGTAAGGGCCAAGTGAATTTATGTTACTTCTTTGCGCGCGTCGCACCTTCTGTTTAATGCCCTCACTTGGCACAGGTTAAACGTCAAACAGATGGCGACCCTGGCGCACAACTATTTGAGCCCGTTTAGATTGGCGGCCGGTCTTGGGTACGATTCTAGTTCTGGTAAGGCTGCTGCAGACCAAAGAGTTTTTGTCAAGTGTGAGATCATGCCCGTCGAGCTGGTGCTGAGGCTCAGGCGGCTGCGATTTCTTCCCAGGCTTCTCAAATCGGCGCCTGCTTGTCTGCTGGCGATCCTGGACGAGCTAGCATCAATGCCAGAATCATGGTCCGCATTGTGTTGCGATGACCTGTTGTGGCTCAGCAGACATGTGAATCTAGCCAAGGAATTCTTACCGTCAGGGCCCCCCGCTTGGTGGTTGTGGCTCCTGAGGTCAAGCAGCAACAAGTTTTGGAAGCGAATCTGCAAGCGAGCAGAATCGGCTGCCAGGGCCAAATTTTTTGACGATCAGCGTCACGAAGAATTCAAGGACGGGTGGCGAAAGTGTTGCATCGCCAAGGGTCTTGCGTTCCCGTCGTTTTTGCGTCCGCCGTCGGTTCTTGCCTTGTATCCTTGCTTGGGCTGTGGGGCGGTGTTGGCCACCAAGGGCGCATGGGCCTCCCATCGCTCGAAGTGCCACCCCCACCTTGACCCCGCCCCCAGCTACGTTTCAGGCACTGTGTGCATGGCATGCGGTCTCAACTTCCACACGCATCTAAGATTGCTCAAACACGTTCGGCATGGCTCATCGAAGTGCTTGGCGAACCTTATGGCCGTCATCCCACCGCTGAGCCCCGAACAGGTGATGGCGGCTAAGGCGGAGGACGCGGAGCTAGCACGCACGCTCCGAGAGAAAGGCCACTACGCGGAGTCAGCGCAACCCCCGCCTGTCCTCACGACTGGACCTAGGCTGAGGGGAGCGGCTGCCTCCAAGGGCCTCCCCACTTGCATGCCGAGAATATCTTGCCAACCAGTGTGTATCCAGGAAGATATGCCCACTCAGGCGGAGGTCCACCTGCCCGCGGCCCCTGGTACCAAGTACATTGTGATCCTCCGTGCAGCTCCCAGGAGTCAAGGTGACATCCAGGACAGAGCGGAAAAGTCCAGTGCCATAGCGGGCATGCATGTTTTTTTGTTTTGGTCTCTTAATATTCTCGAGCTTCTCCAGAACTCCATTGAGGAATTTCATAAGGAGCTACTGTTCATTACTGATCTTATTCTAGCTGGGCGCGTTATTGGTCTCGTGACGGATTTTCTCCTTTCCTCGTGGGACCCCGCCCCCCGCTGCAAAGCCAAGGGTGGTGAATGCAGGCCTTTAAGGAGCTGCGATGAGCCATGGGGAATTTCAGCCAGGTCGCCCTCGGAGTGGAAAAAGCTGGAGCTCGACAGTGCGTGCTTGAGGGCGGCACTGACGCTGGCGCTGTGTGCGGCGTCCTCGGGCCTGGCGACTCTGCTCATTTTAAACCCACCTGCTCCGCAAGCCAACCTGCAAGCTACGTATCCGACCACCACGTCGAGATGTGTGCCCATTGGGGACCGTCAGTGCCTGTGCATGAATGCCGTGCCGATCCTGGCCCCTCCTGACAGCAGCCAGGTGGAATTCTACGTAGCTGCTGTTATCACGCAGGCAGCCTCACAACGCTGTGCCCCCACGCCTCCTGGGGATGCATGGCTAGAGGCGTCAGTTGCCCATCTATATGCCCCGCTCGATTTGTATTGCGAGTCGGGTTGATGTTGGCCATTGCTGCTCTCCTCGTCCCCCGCTATACTTGCCGCCTATCTCATCGCTGACGTATGCAAGTGTGGACACCTCAGACGTTGGTCCCTCAGGGCTGTGGGAAAAAGAAGAAGAAGGAGGAGGAGGAGGAGGGAGAAGGAGGAGGAGGAGGACGAAGAGGAGGAGGGGGAGGGAAGGAGGAGAGAAAGGAGCGAGGAGGAGGAGGAGAGGGGAGGAGAAGGAGGAGGAGGAGGAGGAGGAGGATGAGGAGGAGGAGGGAGGAGCGAGGAGGAAGGTGGGAGAAGGACCGATCGCCCTTTGGCCGGCTGGGCGGCGGCCGGCTGTCCCCCCCCTCGGCGAGAGGTGCTGCTCGCCAACTTGCACGCGCTGCAGCCACAGAGGAGACAACGTCGGGCTCCATGTGCTCTTCTCGCACACCGCAGAGCAGCCGCAGCGCCCGCTGCCACTGTCCAGCCTTTCGGCACGCGCTGATGCCCGCGTTGTAACTGACTGGGGCCGACCAAAGGTCTGAGATCGGATGCCCCTTGGTATGGTGTCGACCCCACTTGGGAGGGCCGAGTGCGACGCCTACTACGTCGCGGTTCTCGGGAAGCTGTGCAGAAAGACATCTGTCTTCCCGAAAACCAGCGTTCTGCCTGAGAGGTCCTACTCATCTGGACCCGCACGGGACCGCGCAGCACCCCAATTCGAGCGCCCCTTGGTAGGCCCGTGTGCGATGCCTGCTACGTCTCGGTGATGATCCCCCCCCCCCTCCCTGAAAACAGGCGTTATAATTCTATAGTGGAAGCCCGACCACAAGAAACCTTCCACAAGAAACCCAACCCGCAGACCCCAGGACGTCCATTGATTTTTGGTGTGGGAACGTCACGCCTTCCACAGAAAAACCATCGAAACCCAAGAAACACAAGGCACACTGGAGGCAAGCAGGGTGTTTCTTGGCATGGGCCTCCACTCTACCTGACAGGTCTAACCGATCTGGGCGCGAATGTGCCCTTGAAACACCCTAAGTCGACCCCCACTTTGGCAAGCTCGAGTGCCATACCTGCTACATTGGAGTGAAGCTGCGTAAGGGTAAGGATGGGTATGAGTGGGTCTGTGCATGGGTGTGCGAATGAGTGAGCCTGGGTTTGAGTGGATCTTGGTATGGATGGGTCTGAGCACAAGCGAATGTGACTGTGAGCGGGTCTGCGAAAGTAAGAGTAAGTCGAAATACGAGATAACCTGAGTATGAGTGAGTCTGGGTATAAGTGGGTCAAGGCCACCGTAAGTAGGTCTGAGTCCGGATGTGCCTGAGCATGAGCAGATCTGGGGGTGATGAGTCTGCGTAGTAGTGGTCGGAATATGAGTGGATCTGAGTATGAGGACTTCTGCGTATAATCGAATGCAGTTGCAAGTGAGTCTGTGCATGGCTGAGTCTCAGTACGAGCAGGAATATGGATAGATCTGGGTCAAGTCATCGTGCGAAAGGGGCTTTTCTGGCCACGGCGAGCCTATGCCACAAAGAGGCTGCATTACATAAATCTCAAGAACGGCCCGAGAACCCGATCCCCTCCTGAGCCCAAAGCGGTGCTTATTTCAGCATTTTGACTGTATGAGCGGGTCCGCGTAGAATGTGGGCAACGAGGGAGGGAGGCGGGAGGAGCGAGGCGGAAGGGTCCCACCACAACCAACACACAAACCATACTTAGGACACGGAGAACATGGCGAACGCAACACAGCACGGCTCAGCAACAACATATGAGCAGCCCTGTTTGTCGCAGGTGCCAGCACATTACCGAGACATACCAATTCGGGAGGGCGCATGCGCAATCGCGACGTGGCGAAACGGATACAACACAGCACAACACAACCAGAATAATAACAGACGGCATACACGTAAATCTTCGTCGTTCCGCGCTGATGTCTTGGATCTGCGCTGGGCTCAGCAACAACATATGAGCAGCCCTGTTTGTCGCAGGTGCCAGCACATTACCGAGACATACCAATTCGGGAGGGCGCATGCGCAATCGCGACGTGGCGAAACGGATACAACACAGCACAACACAACCAGAATAATAACAGACGGCATACACGTAAATCTTCGTCGTTCCGCGCTGATGTCTTGGATCTGCGCTGGGCCCCCCCTCCCTGGCGCGCGGAGCGCCGCCAGGGGCGGCGCCAGAGGCGCCGCCAGGGGGGGGGGGGGAACGAGGATCCAATAAATAAGCGCGGTGCGCCGAACGCTTATGGTTATGGCGGTTGTTCTGTTTCGACCAACGCATCTGAAAAAGGACATGCTTGTTCGCCCCGCACAAACGTCAGCACAGCACGGCCCCTTGGCTTGCTGATGCTTGCTAGTTTTGCTTGCCGCCTCGCCGAGCCGATTGTCGGCGGTCGCCGCGGCCGCAGCAGGCGAAGCGGCAACCCTTCCTCCACTCCTCCTCCCCCTCCTCCTCCTCCTCCTCCTCCTCCCTCCTTTCCTCCTCCTCTCCTCCTCCTCTTCCTCCTCCACCTCCTCTTCCTCCTTCCCCCCCCCCACCCCCTCCCCCTCTTTCACCTCCACCTCCTCCTCGTCCGCCTCGTCCTCCGCGTGTTCCTCGTCCTCGCCCTCCTCGTCCTCCTTCCTCGCCTCGTCCTCCCCGCCCTCCACGTCCTCCTCGTCATCCTGGTCACCCTCGTCCTCCTCGTCCTCATCCTCCTCGTCCTCCTCCCCCTCGTCCCCCTCGTCGTCGTCTTCCCCTCTTCCTCCCACCTCGTCCTCCTCCTCCTCCTCCTCCTCCTCCTCTCCTTCCCCTCCTCCTCTCCTCT